TCCGACGCCCCTTTTTCGTTCCGACCTCCTGCTAACCCGCACCCCTTTTTAGATTCGTTGCCCCTGCTCATTCCCAATCTCAATAAACTGCTTTTTCCTGAAGGAACTCTTGTTGAGATTGTCTGCTGACTGCTTGGACACTACAGGTGTTCCGGCCAACCTACCAAAAATTGAATCAAATTATATTTTCCCGTCGCTTCTGTGTAAGATATTTACCCTTGCTATTGAAAGTGAAACCTTTCCTATTTTATGGAAGGAATTGCAAGTACTGCCTGTACCCAAGCACGGCTAATCAAGGTCATTTGACGACTTTATGTCAATATATCAATTGCCACACCCTCTAAGGTCTTGGAGACTTTGATCAAAGACAAGATGATGCGTCGCTTAACAGAGAAAAAACTACATAACGCGCGTCAGCATATGTTCTTGGAAAAAAATTTATTGTGCCACCTGCCAGCTCTCTTACTTTGATCATGTGCTACTATCTAGAGATAACGGTTTTGCATTTTACATCTCGATTTCACAAAGGCGTTTTATCGTGTTGATCATGATCTCCTCCTCCATAAACTCGCCTCTTTCGACATAGGTAATAAGCTTCTGAATTGTATATCCTCCTATTTGGATGCTCGCATACAACGAGTAAAAAATCAAATTTTGCCTTCAACCCCAAAGATGTAAGGAGCGGAGATATTCAGGGTAGCGTGTTTGTCTCACTCTTATTTCCCCTTTTTTATCAACGATGTTCCTGGTTGTTTTCAAGATGGTAGGCCCATTATGCACGTTGACAAGTGAAATTTTGCTTATATATATAAACCGGCAGATCGCAACATCGTTCTCGACCTCAAAAAAGGGTCTTTAAGCCTTTGCCCAGTCGTGTTGCATATAGCGCCTTTCCTTTTCCTGGCACGAATGCTCTGTTCTGGCTGATAGTGACGATCATCAGCCTTAACTAAGCACCAACGGTCACGATCTAAATGTGTCCGAGTCTATTGGGGATCTGGAAATATAATATTCCAACGTCCTTCATCCGTCAGAGCACTGCATCCTGATTGCATCGAAAAAACACAGAACTACCGGATTTATTCTCAGAAATGTTGAAACAATAAAAATTAGAACCAGCCTTTATAAATATATGTTAGATCTACTCTGCAATACTGCTCGTTTCTATTTGGCTTTCTATGCTTTAGTGAACGGAAGAAAATAGAATCAGTACAGCATTTCTTTACTGAAAGTGTGTTCTTTTCTAAACATCCTAACCTGTCCTAACAACAAAGTTGTGAGCTTACTAACCTTTATCCGTCATGGCTTCACAGACTACAGGAGGGAATAGTTTTACTGCTTACACTTTTAAACAGTCGTACAAATAATCCCCTTGTTACTCTGAGGCGATTTGAACACTCTCGGCACATTTGTCACCGAGAGGTCTTTTTTTGCTTCCTCAGGCACACACAGATCGATAGCGCTAGTTATTTTCAGTAAATGACGGAGCAAGTTGGAATAAGCTATCCAAAAGTATCGAAATCTAGCAAAGATATTCTCTGTTTAAGAGAGTTATCACCAGCTTTCTACATTCAGGACGATTTTCCCGAATTTTGAGTTCTGAATCGGTGGAATTTCGCTTCCGCTCTGATGGCGTTCGTGAATACCAACTCTGTGCCATGTTTCCTGTTGAGGGCAATGGTGATGAATCTGCAGCCTAGAACTTTAGCCGACAGCAAACAATCGTTCGCCGACGCACAATCCTCTAGTGCAGCATTCTGGATCCATAGCACTCAAAGAAAACTGAGAACTCTGTGGCCATGTGTTAAACCTTCCCGTCCTGAACTGCAAGCATCTAACGAGCTGCAGGTTTTTCTCCCGAAAGAAAGATCAGGAATTTTTTCACTGTCAGCTCAATTAATAACCGTACACATCTTTTGACAATTTCTGTAAACTGGAAAACAATAAATAAATAAATAAACCAACTTAATAAAACAAAATGTCGCCTCACTCTGATAAATATCACACTGTCACACTCCGGATGCCACTCAGTCGTCGGCTGTCAAATTGTTATCCCCATTTCTTCACTAGTTCTGTACGGTATTCACAATTCCTCCCACCTGGCTTTCCAGTTCTTCTCTTTTCACGCGGAACCGGGACCGAGGGACATCGTGGCAACCGTCTTCCCTATTAACTTAAGCCCTATTATAGAAGACGAAAATGTGGAGGTACAAGTTTGGAGACCAGTGTGACCATCGCTGCAAGAGCTACATAGAGGATACTGAGTCATCGAGATTGAAAACTTAATGAAAATCCCAGTCAGCCACCATAATTTGCATGTTAAAGTAATGGCCGACCTTGGGATTCTTTGATCGGACCATATTTGTGGATTAATAAAGTATAAAATCCAAAATAAACCTTGCAGTTACTATTTAGAAGCCTTTTACAGCACAAAATGATCATGTTTTTAAACAGAATCTGTGCAGGTGCTTCATTATTTTTATCCAACTGACCGCACCTGGGAGAAATGCGTATTAATCTTGATATAGTAGAAAATAAATCCTGAATTATCAGCAGTATAGGGTTGTAACCGAGATGCTGTACCTCGTGTGATTAACTTTAAAAAATACAAAAAGCAGTGATAAAATGGGCATTTGTACTGCTTTGATGGGCTTTTTATAATCATTTTCGACATCAAACTTGCTTCAGCTGGCTTCGAAGAACATTGTTGTTTTCGTGCTATTCTTATAAAAGAAGTGAATGGAAATTCTCTTTTTGGTTCCATCTCACCTTTCAGTGAAGAGGATGAAGTAATTTAAAATTTAGAATAGCTCCTGTTCCAGTGATTCCCGATCACGTTGTTCGGTGTTGGCAACTTTGTTGACGTTATAATTGTTTAAAGTGACATATAAATGTCTGGGCGGTTTGGTCGAAAACTTTATCTATTTTACTCCCGGTAGTGATGGAGAATGTGTTTCTATCATTTGCTGGGAATCATTCCTTTGTTGAGAATGGCGGATTTCCTGGTGAGCCCTTGGTAGTATTGTTTATTTTTACAGACAAAATTTTGAATGCGTCCATCACAGTACTATCTATTGAACAAAATATGTTTAGACAAACCCTCTCTTACAGGACACACCAGGGACTACTTATTTCTCTGATATGTTTACTTTTTTCCTTCAAACATCTAGTTGTAAATTTTTAAGCAATACGTTTTTGATTTTGTACTGAACGTTTCTTAGGAGCATAAATGACAAATTCGAATTTTTCTGCGATCGCAGAATTTCTGTTTATTTTTATGCAGATTTTTTGCCTCACTTATGTTAACCGCTTTTCTCATCCTTCTTCTTGCCACTTGAGACTTTTTACTCGAAACCACTTTCCGTTATCAATCCGACCGCTGAGCTGTGTGGCAGAATTCGTGTTCAATTGTCATCGCACTTCACAATACGCTTGGAAATTCTCACTGTTTCCGTTTAAAGTTATTTTCAGGGGATCTTTATGATAAATTCGCGTGTTTGATTTTCTAAATAGCGAGTGCTTCCTTTAAAAGTCGACCTCTTGAATTCTTTGGAGCCCGGTATATTTAAACATCAAGTGCATGCCCTTTCCTACACCATCTTATACTATTTCATAGCTTGCATGGCCCCCAAAACCTGTGCTAAGAAATTCAACTTGAACTATTTTCTCAAATAGGACGGATTATAAATATTATTGGCAGATAAGAACCTATGTTAACCGTCTCTATTTTTATTATTTGCGGACAGAATCGCCCCGGACAAGTAATCCTTAGACAGCTATCCATATTTCTTCGCAACCGCTTATGCCATTTGATTAACAGCAATATAAC